GGGTGGCGGGGGGGGGGGGGAGAGGGCCAACGAGGTCATGCTGGAGCTGGAGAAAACTTTGTTAGTCGTCACAAGCTTTGTACATTAGCGGTGGCCGCAAGATTGGTAGAGGTGGCGGCGATGGCATGCAGCAGTAGCAGCAGCAGCAGCCAGCAGCGTACCGTGTGTAATCTGCCTGTGCGTCTGCCTGACCGCCGCACATCGGCTGGTCGCGAAACGAGATTTTGTCACACCGACCAAACGCTACCCACGCAAGGACGCATTCCACTTCGTCACGACGCTACAGCAGTACCTCGAATGCAGGCAAGTGGACAAGGCAAGAGACACACCACACCCAGAGAACGATAACATATCGTTAGCCTTGCTTCCTGAAAGCACACCGCACCTGTGTGCCCACGGCGGCGTGTGCTTGTGGAGAGCCTCCACCCCACGGCACACTCCAGCAAAAATCGCGAGGGCCTCCACCTCCCCTAGCGGCGGCCCGCCCCCGAGTAATCGCGTGTCGATCACGTCTCTCAATGAACCTTTCCATGGAATAGGGGACAAGAGGGCAAAGACATTAAGTGAGATCACGCTCACGTAGATGCCTTTCACCGCTTTCAACCAAGACCACACGCGAAGCACTCGTGATACGCGTACCCTCCACGGTCGATTCGAAGGGTACCGTGCGTTTGTGGGTTCGATACCTAGACTAACGCACACCGAGCAAGGCCTACCGGGTAACTACTGTGTAGTGGGCAGCGCGAGATCACGACGGGATAAGGTCCAACCACACCACCGGCGTCACGCTGTACCTCGCTCGCGAGAACGGACGACTTACTCCTCTCCACGAAGCCGCCCGGCAGGGATCAACTTTTCCCTGGTGTCGGAGCGCCATTCAGTTCGCGTGCATGCACACGGGGGAAGAAAAAAGCGGCGGAAATCCCAAACCCCAAAACGCGGCAAAAACGCCCTCTCTACACGGGGTTGGTACAGTTCCAACAAGAGGGAGATTCCCGAGCAACAAAGAGGAAGGCGGTCCGGCCTGAGCACTCAACTGCCGCGAACACACAGCGACAACAGCAAATAGAAAACGCAGGTTCCAGCTACAACTAATAAGAGTGCAACCTCACGATCAAATAACGACAGCAAAACAAAATGAAACTCCCTGGTACAACTCTAACAGAATGAAACTCACGATCCATAAAGGGGAAGAGGAGGAAGGCGGCCTCTCCTTGAGGGACCCTCACGAAGGCCCAGTCCTTGAGCGGCATGAGGTTCGGGTGCGAGAACTCCCGGTGCGACCGCATCTCCGACACCGCCAGCTCCCTCTGCTCGTCCACCTGTGAGGCGCCACAATACGGCAGGCAGAACGATGCAACCTTGCGTTCGCGACACCTTCTTTCTTGGCTTTCGCAAAGAGGAATTGGAAAGACAACACGAAGGGACACAGCACACTTGACTGCTGGCGCTGAGGTACTTTCATTGGGCAACCGGTTAGCCGTGGTCGATGCTCACTACAAAGCGCCCACGATTGCACACGGACACAATGGAAGACCCAGCACACATCGCCTGCCGTTCAAAGGTATTGGCTCTCATCCTGGACATCGCGCGAAGGCTTCGCTGTCGCCGCCCCCCCGGTGGTTCCGTTGATCTCCCACCTTCCCTTCGTCCCCCAGCCCTACCTCCACCTCCATCACAAGACAACGACGACGACGACAATCGTGGTGTGTGGTGTGTGGTGCCCTCTTTCGCGCTCACCTGACACAAAACCTTCTTGAGGGCGTACTGCTCTCCGGTGGAGGTGTCGGTAGCCCTATACACGAACGAAAAGCCTCCCTCCGCTATCGGCGCGGTGCGATACCTCACCCTGTTTTTGTTTGTTTTTTTGGGGGGGGGCGTGTTGGGGCATCCCCCGCGGGGGGAAGGGGAGGCGAACTTAACGTGAAGACCCCCAACATTGTATATACAGGGGTACGGAAAGGGAAGGGTCAACTGCGCGGCGAGAACGATTGCTGTTGAGATTTGGGAGCTGATATCTTGTTTCGCCGTCTTTGGCTCGCCCCTCCCCCCCCGACCCACCCCACCCCCGCTCCCTCTCTTTTTAAATGTACACTCTGAAACTGAGGCCAGTATGTCGCCATTCGTGTGCCGACACTGGCATACATGTGCATACGACTACCGCGGAACTGCGCCGACTAACGCTACGGGGATCGAACTTGAATGAAGTGTAACCTGGTCATGCATATGCTTGGGTCATATGCATACACGAACTTACGGTACGGCTGCTGCAGGAGACAAAAGACTGGTTCAACAAGAGAATTCCAGCTGAGATGTTCCGCACGTACAACTGGAGGTGAGAGTTTACGCTGAGAACGCACTCGCACGGTGGGCATCCGACTACATGTATACCCACTCCAATATCTCTAAAAGCTGGATTTCTTTGCCGAAAAAGACAGATTCACAGCTGCGTCACGATACTGGGTGTTGCCGCGCAAAGAAGAGACCGTTCGAAAGCAGAGGCTATGCATATGTACTGCTGTCGTAGTTGCGGGCAGTCGGCCAGCCGGTGTGTTTCATCCCTCCGCACTCCCGCTAACACACAGGAGTGAGAGCCTCACGTCTCGCAAACGCTACCAACCAGCAAAGGAGTGGTAAATCTGCGGCGCTTTACAACTGCGTTAGTTTGTCCGTACCTTGTCCCATTGTCGAGGGTGATGGTGCTGTACCCGGGGCTGCCTGTGAGCGTCCTCAGCGGCGCCAAGAGCGCCAGTATCACGTCCCAGATGAACCACATCACGAGGCGCGCCCGGTTCACCAGCATCAACGCGCACCAGTCTCTCCTGTTGCTCAGCAAGCCCCCCTTGGCGGTCCTACGGACAAGGCCACGAGCGTCAGACGACAACAGAGCGAGCAGCGCGCGGAAATCACGTGAACCCTGCCGCTGTACCTCAGTAACATAATAATGCACCTGCATCACAACTACAGCAAGAAGAGCGGTTTGCTCTAAGTCAAAGGCACAGCTGGAATGTTCTCGCTTCTGTGTGTGGCAAAGGTCGAGTACGATTTGAATAACTACTACCGAAGCAGGCGACAATAGAGTGGCCGCACGCGTCGTCGGCGCTCACCTTGAGTACGGTTCCGACATAACCCCGACTTGACGTGCACAGACAAAAGGTAACACAGCAGACACACCCAGCGCCTGGCGCCGCTCTGCGCTGCACAAGAGGCTGTTCCTAAAGTCAAAAGCGGCCCCGCAGCTGAACATACACCCCTCCCCTCTGCTCTCGCAACGCGTGCCGCTCTACAGCGGACCGCACAACACAACCACAACCACCGCACGAGAGAGTCCACACTACACGTGCAGAGCGTGTAGCATGTGGACGGAGAGCGGTAGCTTGGCAGAGCTGGCCTTCCCCGTGATGGTTGTCGCGATCGCCTCCGGCGTGTCCCTGCTATGCACGGTCCTCCTCTGGCGCACCCAGAAAGTCTCTCGCGACACAGCCGCCTGCTTCGACCGAATCGAAAGGGTGGGCTTCCGAAGGTCAGCCAGCAGCCGCAACCAAACAACGGCGGTGCAAATGAAGCCAAGGGCAGTGTCAAATCTCAAAGTACTTTGTGCCGCGCAGTCCTTGCTCCCGACATTTGGTCATGTTCAAAGGTTTGCGCCGACTATCATTATGTTCGATACAATACTTTTTGGCGGCTGTGGCCCAGCAGTCTACACGTGTAGGCATTCGGCGGTGTGTGTGTCGTTCCCTCATCCTCGTGTGCATACATACACAATTTTCATCTTTGTAAATGCCTATGCTCTGAGGTGCACCGGTCGGCACCATACATCGTTGGATCATCGGCTGGGAGGCTCTCTCTTGTATGTGCCTTTCGCCCAAAGTCCACATCTATCTTGAGCGTAAACCGCGGACAGCATTTTACCGCTCTAAAAGAGTCAGACCAAATATGCATACAATATGGCAGTGTTCGGAGCCACCTCGACTTGCGCGTCTTGTCTTGAATACACGCAAGTGTTGCTTCTGAAGACCGGATCTAGGCATATGCTCTAACGCAATTTCCGCAACCGTCCACACGGACGAGTCAGCGATTTTTTGTGTTGACACGATCCAAGATGGCAGGCAGTGTTCGGTGCGCCGCCTCGACTTGTGCGTCTTGTCTTGAATACACACAAGTGTTGCTTCTGAAGACGGGATCTAGGCATATGCTCCAAAGCAATTTCTACAACCGTTCACGCACGTACGGTAGCACGGAAGTCCCGAAGGGATGTTATTTGTTATTTCATCCATCCTCTCCACGCTCTGTTGGTATTATTTACTACAAGTAGACCAAGGGCTGAGAGGGCCAACACAGCAAAACCGGAGGCGAAAGAGAGAGCTCGACTCAGCAGGTCGTTCGTCATCTCGCACCCCGGTGTTTGCGTGTTGCTACTGCTGTATCATACGGCCGTTTGTCTTGGGGCAAAGAGAAGGAGTGTACGACGACACTATAGTTGAAAAATATGTATTTGCATCCGATTGCTACCGGTATGCAACTGACCGCCTTTAGTTTGGAGAAGTGACACACTACTTTGTTTCTCGCACCTCACCCCCGCCCCCTTCTGCTGCATCCATGTACAACTCCATGCCTCTGCTAACAGCGACCCTCAGCTGCGCTCTCTGGACAAGTCCATCGCTCTGTCGGTGCCGCCGCTGCCGCCGCCGGCGGCGACGCCGGGGGCGGCGGGGGCGGTGCTACCCCGAAAGAAGCCGTTCGAGAAGGGCCTCGTGCTCATCGGTGGGTTCGGAGACATGCCCCACATGTGGGAAGGGCTGGCGGAGAGAGCTTCCAAGGCCGGGTGGTACACGCTGGCTCCTCGCACGCCCGGCTGGGGCAGGACCGACTTCAGAGAGGCCAACAAAGTTTGTTGGACAGAGTGAGTTTGTTGTGTTCTTTCTTTTCGTCCTCCCGGTTTTAGAGCGACGGTTCGGGGGCTGGCGAGGAGACCATTTACCATCCGTCGAGATGGTGCGTGATGTAGTTTGTTTTTCGTTAGTCTCCACGTTTTTTGCTCGTTGCTGTTTCTCCTGAGGAAGCGCTCCCGGATGGTAGGGGTTTCCTGATGTTGTAACACGTTTTTTTTGTTTTGGTGTTTTGGGCTTGGGCATCGGGGGCCAGAAACGTGTCGGGCTGAACATACTCGAGAGGTAACGAGTCCCTGGTGGTTGGCGACGTCCTTGCCAACTGCGTCGTTTTCCGCCCTTGTGTACGCCACTTCGCCGAACAAGCTTTTGGCGACAACAGCATTGGCACCTCTCACCCACCCATGTTTGTCATGTGTCGCATTCTCTGCTCCAGATGAAAAAGAGACTTCACGTTTGCCCCTCTCCCCCCCCCGCTTCCCTCTGCCGCACCCTCCCACCCACATCACCATTTCCCCCTCCCTCCTCCCCCCCTCCCCGCTCGCGTCAAAACCTAAACGACCAAAACACACCCCGGTGATGAAAAAAAATACGTACTTGGCAAAAAAAAAAAAGTTGGGTGCTGGCGTGCCGGGACAGCCTAGCGGTGGCGCGGGGGCTGTGCGACGAGGTGACCGTGGTAGCCCACAGCACTGGCGCCCCCGTGGCCGCGTTGGTGGCCGAGACCCAACCTATCGATCGGCTCATCTTCACGGGACCCAACTTCCTCTCGCAGGCGGGCGATCGCTGGTGAGCTTGGCTTGGGTTGCGTAGGATACCACACCCCCCATGGACCGATTTTTTAATGCTCTTTTGCGTCATTCACGACGAAAGGGTGCCAGCATCAAATGATCACATGCATTACGTTTCGAGACGGTTTCCACGCCGCCATTTTCGACACCGTGAGTGTTTTTGCTGCAGAGTAGTGGAGCTTTGAATATGGGCCCAGGGAGTGTACTATCTTGCGCGACCTACGTTTTTTTTTGGAAGTAGGCACACACGCACACACCGCCGTTCCGTGTGCAGCTTCTTCATGTGCTGTTTTTAACTGTTTTCCTTGTCGTGGATGAATAGTAACTGAGACGAAAGAATGGGTTCACTCGTGTAAGGTGGAAGCGAGGTTTGGTGCTGGGGCAAGGGGGATCATGTAGGGCCGTATTCTTCATTATGGTGGTGGTGGGGGGGGGCGTAGGCACGTTGTCTGGTTGACTGGTGGGGGAGGGGGCTAGAGAGGTTTCGTTGAAGGCGCAGTGTTCGAAACGTGTATGCATGTCGTGGCTACGGCTGTACTTCACACACACATGCACGTCCACCTACATCACCATGCCACCAAGAAACGCCTCCCCCCCGAACGATCATTCATTTTTTTTGTCTCATGTATTTGTCCGCGTGAAATCAACAATTTCACACCTAACGACACTGGCATCAACAACGCCGACATCAATCACGACCACAACAACAACGATAACGACGACGACGACTATTTGCAACGAAGGGCGAAGAAGCTGCTGCTGAGACCGGTCGTGGGGCCCCTGGTGACCAAGTACCTGGGCACCGTGGTGAAGAAGAGGAGAAGGGGCAGGCCGGTGGACAGCCTCAACGTGGCCTCCTACGAGACCGCGTTCTACCTCACCTGTCTGCCGGTGCACACTCTTCGGCAGATGTGGATCCTGCAGGTACTATCTACTGCTGTACGCAGATCGCAGAGAGCGTTGTTGTAGTTGTGCATCGATTGAGAGTTTGCTGGTCCAGAAACCAAACTCGTCACACACCTCGGTAGGACAAGCGTCACCGTATTCCATGCTTTGGTGGTGCAAGTAGGACACACACGTGCGCGTCGATACTTCTGCGGTTGCTGCTGCGGGTGTTGTACCTGCCGTGTGTGCACCTGGCTTGCGCATCCGGACAGGACAGCGTCATCCAAGCTGTCCCTGACATGACAGAGCTGGCTTGGCCTGACCTCTAGCAAGCAAAGAGACGGACAGGGACAAACAACAAGCAGCAGTCGGTGGCGGCGGCGGCGGCGGCCAACGAGAGAAAAACGACGTTCTGCATGCAGTCAGAACAAGCCGCACGCTCGCAAGCAACAGCATTAATACTTTCACTAAGAAACAGATAAAAAGTGTGCCCCAACAACAACACGTGGCTCGCTCTTTTCCTTCCTTCTCGACGGAAAACAGGACAAGCTTTCGCGGCCGTGGCGAGTGTCCGGCGAGGTGCTCATGCTGATGGGGGAGTCGGACGAGTCGGTGGCGCCTCTCCTGGAGCAGGCGGACTTCGTGAGGGGCTACGTGCCGGAGGACGTGTCGTTCCGGGCGTGCTCGATCCCAAGTGCGTACCAGGTTTTGGTGTCGCAGTTCGGGGTGGTGGTGGTGGTGGTGGTCGCAAGTGTGCGTGTTTTTGTGCTCACCAGGTCGAAGCCCAACTTTTCTTCGCGGATCCCCCGGTGTGGCAATATGACATACCTGTGAAAACGTGTGTCGCTGGGGTCTTGCCTCCTGGGTCCTATAACTTATCATCTTATCATACGCCCCCCCCCCCCCCCCCCCCCCCCCCC